ATTCAGTGACCCCTAGTCCATTCTGACTCGCAATGGCCCATTAGGTCATTCAGTGACCCCTAGTCCATTCTGACTCACAATGACCCATTAGGTCAGGATAGAGCTGCCTCTGCAGGTTTCTGAAACAGTAAATCTCTATGGGAATAGAAAAGCCTCATCTTTCTCCTTCGGTCATTCTGAATTGCTGAGTGGAACAAAAATATATACTGCTGGAAAAAAAAACTGAGGTTAATATCCTGAAAAATTCCAAGGCCCAACAGAAAAATCCCAATCAATGTTCTATTCAAATGAATTTGACAGAGGATGTGAAAACTCATCTAGTGATGATAAAATAATGGGGGAATGAAAAATATAATAAAATATTAAACAAATTAAAGAGCCAAGGAAAAACATCAATGAACTGACCAACAAATGTAACCAAGCAAAATCCGTGAATTGGCGGCTAAGCTCATTAATATAACAGTGATTGAAGTGAAAAACTATCATTAATATAACAGTGATTGAAGAGAAAACCTATCAGCTTAACAGAGAGAAGCATGGTTTTATGGAATTATGGGTCAACAAGAGGCCTTTATATGTATCATGGAAATTCTGGAAGACTACAAGAGTGAAAAACCAACAGAAAAAGTATTTGAAACAGAGTCTGACCAAGGACATGAACCCTTTGTCCAAAGAGCTAGAAAAAGAAGTGTAAACTAACCCTAAACCTACCAGGAAAAAGGTAATAACAAAGATCAGAGCAGACATCAAAGAAATAACAAACACAAATCGGACACAAGCTCTATTTATGAGCAAGCAAAATTAGATACCACCGTAAATCTTTTTTATGGATTAAAAAAAAATCAAACAATAGAAACAGGAAAACCAGATGTTGATTCTTTGAAAAAAAATCAATAAAATTGAGAAGTCTTTAGTTAGGCTGACAAAAGACTGGGATCAAAATAATAATGGTAGAGGTGACATTATAACTGACCAGATAGAAATAACATGTGGCAAGATATCATGACTATCACGTATTGCAACAAACCGAATAGCCTAACCTGAGTGAAAGGGACAAATTCTTAGAGAAACACAACTTACCCAAACTGACCCAAGAAGAAATAGAAACCTACAGCAAACCAGTAGCAAGTACAGAGATGACAACAGTGATCAAAAACCTTGCGACAACAGCAAAATGTTCTGGGCCAGATGGCCTCCCAGAAGCATGTTTAAACAAGAACTGACCCCAGTACTGTTGAAACTCTTCCAAAACCAAAATAAGGAATACTCCCTAATTCAGTGGATGAAGCAAACTCAGCCCTGAGAAACAAACTTGATCCCCAAACCAAGCCAAACACTAAAAGGAAACCAGGGGCCAATATCTCATGAACATAGACCCCAAAATCCTCAAAATACAAAGGAGCATAATCCAACAGAACAAGTTCCTCGCTGTGACTCGGGGCATCTGTGAAAAGCCAACAGCCAGCATTATACTTCCTGGAGAAAGACTGAGAGATGTTCTCTTGAACTTAAGGACTAAGAAACATGCCTACTTTCAACACTGCTGTTCAACAGTATATTTAAATCCTAGCCAGAACAATAAAACAAGAGGAAGTTTGTCAAATCCAGATTACAAAAGTAAAAGTATCTGTTTGCAGATGACATGATCTTATATGTGGAAAATCCCAACGAGTCCACAAGTCACGGAAGAATTTGGCAAAGTTTTAAGGCACAATGTCAACCAAAAAAATCAGTTGAGTTACTATATACTAGAAGTGAGAAATCTGAAATAGAAATTAGGAAAATAATTCCATTTATATTAGTATATAAGATTATAAAATATCTAGGAGCAAATATAACCGGGAATGTGAAGGTCTTATACAGTAAGAATGATAAAACACTGCTCAAGGGGGGAGAAAGGGGAAGCCGATCACAAGGACTTAGCTATAACCCCCTCCCAGGGGGATGAACGAGAGACAAGGGGATAAAGGGAGACATCGGACAGTGCAAGACATGCAAAAATAATAAGAATTTAAACTTATCAACGGCTCATGAGGGAGGGAGGAGGAAGGGGGAAAATGAGGAGCTGATACCAAGGGCTCAAGCCGAAAGAAAATGCTTTGAAAACGATGATGGCAACATATGTACAAATATGCTTGAGACAATGGATGGATGGATGGATTGTGATAAGAGTTGTATGAGCCCCCAATAAAATTATTTTTAAAAAGCTACCGAAAAAGATGAAAGACTTAAACAAATAGAAAGATGGTCCATGTTCATGTATTGGGAGAGGCCACGTCTTTGGAGCTGAGGTGGCTGGTTCTATACCCAGATCTTCCATCAGCTGGCTGTGTGGGCCCTTTGGAATGTTACCAGCCTTTTTTGTGCCTTGTTTTCCTCATCTGTAAAATGGGACTAACAGGATGTCTACATTGTGGAGTCATTGGGTCCGTTGAACGAGTTACTGTCAGGAAAACACTTAGCGTTGGGCGGGCGTTAGGTGGTGCTAGGTGCCCTTTCTCGGGCCCTGGAGTGATCAGTAGCATCCCAGGGCCACAGACTTTCGCTACAGTTCATGCCTTTCCTTTCACCACTTCCAGGTCTTGGCCAACAAGAGTCACCTCTGGATTGAGGAGGAAGTCTGGCGGATGGAAATCTACCTCTCCCTGGGAGTGCTGGCCCTCGGCACACTGTCCCTGTTAGCCATCACCTCTCTGCCTTCCATCGCAAACTCACTCAACTGGAGGGAGTTCAGCTTCGTTCAGGTAACACAGGCCTGGCCCTCTGCACTTGAACAGCTAGTGGCCCTGCCTCGCTGGGCCTTCTGCACAGTGAGCTGTCCCTGCTATACTGATCTGTATAGTGCATAACTCATCAAGTACCAGGGCCTTTGTGTCTGCGGCTCTTGATGCAGGCACAGGCTGGGAAAAGCTGATCGATCCCCTGGATGTTTGGGGAAACCTGTTCTGGGTGTGTGAAACAATTACAGAACGACACTGAGCCCGGGGTTAAGCATTCTCAGTAGCTACAGTTCGTAAGCTTTCCAAACAAAAGTCCGCACTGTGCCCTCATTGGACATTCTGCTGGTCTGATTGGGGCTCAGGGAACCAGGGAGTGAGCATACCAGCCCCCCAGCGCCACCCCTCCCAAGCTTCCTCTCTTGTCCCCTTTAGCCCTGAGTCATGCAGGGGGCGTTGAAGGATGAGCATTAGACCACCAGTGTGCAGGTGATGAAACAAGGCAGTAAGCAGCAAAGCACTTCACAAAAGAAACTGTTCCCATGAAAAAGGTAGGGGTCTGGGGTATATTCCATTTGAGTCATACTTTGCCTCCTCCAAGATTCAGAGTCCCTTGGGTGTGCTAATAGTCAGCCCACTCGGCGGCTACATGAAGGTTTGGGGGTTCCAGGCTACTACGGAAGCAAGACCTGGTGATTTCCCGCAAGAGCAGCCGTTGAAAACCTCACAGCGATGCCAGGAGTTGGATTTGACTCGACGGCAGCAAGCTTAAGAGTCGCAATGCAGTTTGGTACATCAAGGATGGTAATAAAGGCCAGAGCAGACAACTCATTTGAGCCAAAGCCCCCTTTTTCCAGACACCAGCAGCCAACACCCAGAATATACTTTGGAACATGCTGCTGGTGGCGAAAGCTCATTTGTGCATGACGTCATGCCACGCACATTTATTGAGCACCTCCTGTCCGCCAGGCACCCACCATGGTAGGCCAGAGACATAATGGGAACAGGACAGGCCTGTCAGCTTTCAAAGACAATCAGCCCAGGGATGGCGCTTGCATTAGCTTGGCATCTCCTACTCTCCTCCACACAGGACATGGTCAGCTCCTACTTGTGTTGGTCAAGTCACCCATTGGCTCCCATGGGCAGGAGCTGGCCAAGCTGAGTTATGGCGCCACCTTGCGTCAGGGCTGAGATCAGCCCAACCATCCACCCTATTGTCACAGAAATCTGTTGAGAACTTCCATCCGCTCTGCAATTCAAACGTAACCATTACACTTGTTTCTGACTGGTGACACTTAGCATGGCTTTGAACAGCGTTGGACAGTCATGGCTTCTTAAGAAGAATGTGTTTGTCTGTCTGTCTGTGTGGGGAACTTCCCAGCGCTGCTTATCTCAGAAGGTCCCTGGAGGAGTGTGCAGGACTGACACATCCCAGTAGAAGAGGAGAAGAAAGACAGGGTTTTATTTATCTGCCGTGAATCCTCCTGTGTCTCACACCCGGATCCGGGACTTTCCTGTTCCGCCTGGAGGATCCCTGGGTGCGTGGTTTAGCTGCAATTCAAACAGACTGCAGGCTGCTCAGCTCACCACTGAGCTGCTCCCTTAAGCAGCAGTGGATGACGTGCCCGACACTGGCCGCTGGAGCAAGCTGCAGGGTTTTCTTTTGCCTGCAAGTGCAGACTGGGCCTCAGCAGCCACACTCTGACTGACGTATTGAA